CCCTCCCTCCCTCCCTGTGTGTCCCTGCAGGAGTGCAGTGCACTGGTTCAGAAGCCCTTGGGTCTCACACTTGGGTCCCGTGGAGCAGCAGCTAGTGTTGTCTACTGCAGAATCATCCCTGGGGCCCCTGGCCTAGGGTTTTATCTGCTACAGGATACAAAGCAGCTGATTTGCTCTGAGTTCCAAGACCTCATCATTCACAATAATTGCATGGACGTCTGTCTGTCAGAGATGACAGGCAGACCCTTCACTGTCTTCCCAGCCTCACCTCAGCTGGAGAGCTGCCTCCTTATGGACTATCAGCTGGGCTGGCGCCTACCACTTCTCGGAATGTACTCGGAGGGTACTTTCCTTGTGACATGTTCTCGAAACAGCAGGACAGCTTCGGTCCCTCCACATCTTACCCACCCTCTCACTGTTCCCTTGTCTTCATGTGCTGAGAGCGAGTTCTTCTTGTCAGCATTTTCCCACCCAGCAGGCACTGCTGGAGCACCTGTGCTAGGTTCCGGAGACAGAGTAACAGAGCCAGCTTGCTCTCCCAGCTGGGTGAAGGACAACAGTACCATGGACATGTCCGGTAGTGATGACTGCCATGGTGTCCCAGCTGGGTGAAGGACAACAGCATCATGGACATGTCCGGTTACAATGACTGGAGAGCAGTGAGGCAGGAAACGGCAGTACTAGGTTGGGTTTTCCTTGGGTAATCAGTGGACAGAGGGTGAGAGACCCAGGCATGGAGTGCTTGGTAAGCATGCACGAGGCTCGGGGTTCAATGTTCAGCACCACAGAACAAAACCAAAATCCTCAAAGCCAAAGCAAAGTAGATAATCTGTGTAAACAACCAAACAGCCTGCCTCCACCAGGCAGTCACTGGGGCCTGCCACTGTTCCATGTCTAATAATGACCCGTATGATCAGCTTTGTGACTTAACTGACTTCGATCCCATCAAAGCCTGGCACATGGTAGGTGTTTAACACAACCGTACTGGTGTGAGCACTGGCCCCAGGCTGGGGGACAACCCCCGCATCCGCGGCAGTCAATGTATTCCACAGAAGCAACACAGAAATCCGGCCTTGTTGAACAGAGTGACCGTCTTACCAACAAATGCAAGTCGTCCTCAATGACCTTTGCTTTCCTTTTAGTTTTTTTGAGTCAGGGTTTCTCTGTGCAGCCCTGACTGTCCTGGATCTCGCTCTGTAGACCAGGTTGGCCTCGAATTCACAGAGATCTGCCTGCCTCTGCCCCCTCCCCGCCCAGTGCTGGGATTGAAGGTGTGCAGCACCGTGCCCAGCGCAACAACCCGTTTCCTACACCTTCCCTTGTACCAGGTTTCCTAAAACAGCGAAGCTTCATTGCTCCTGACTACGGAAGTCTTGGAATTTCACATCTTACACTTTTCTGGCCTCCGTTCTTCCTGGCGATGGACAGTACACTCACCCTGTGATGCCTGAGGTGACGTAGTCCTTCCCCAGGTAGTTGTAGCCATGGCGAACGAGGTCTTCACACACATCCTTTACTTTACTCCCTCCAAAGGCGGTACCGTAGTGGAACCTGCCGTCTAACACACCCGCCTTGCCGGCCAGCAACTCAATTAACTTTCCGACCTGTGGGGTGAGATGGGAACAAATGGTGAGTGTCTCCTGTGGCGTAGGGTTCTCCTGGCCTACTTAGCTTTGGCTTCCAGGTAGCTTCAAGCCCCACAATTACCAAGAGTGATACATTACTAATACAGGCATTCACTGGTGCCTTGCTGAGGAACCCTGGCCTGGGTGACTAACATCGCTATGGTTTCCCTAGTTTTCAGATAAGGAAACTCAAGTATGAGCTAAGCACTGTGGCTGAGGACACGGGGCCTGTGGAAGAATTACAGATGACAGGAAGTGGCCGCTCCCAGAGCATCTGCAGGGCCCCAGAGGGGAGTAAGAGGACGAGGCGTCCGTCCATCTGTCAGGGACCGCTCACTGTAACTAAACTAACAGCCCTCTTCCTTCTTCCAGAGCACACCTCTGGAAAGCCCACAGGTAACTGACCGTCATTCTCGATGGGAAGCCGTGCGGGTTCATTATGATGTCGGGACAGATACCAGAGTCGCAGAACGGCATGTCCTCCTGGGGGACGATCAGGCCGCAAACACCTGGGGACAGGTTTCACAGCACGTGAGGCAAACGGGCAGGAGGGAAGAATGGGGTCCTTAATTGGGATCTTCCCGCTGCTATCCCCATTCCCACTCTCATAAGCCCTCCCCACTGTCTCCTTTAAGAGTAACAAAGGCAATTTCCAACAGCCCTGGTAGCCAAGCAGTTCAAAGATGACTCTCCTTGCAGAAAAGCATTGTAGCCTGTGGACTGGCCTGCTGGCAGACACACAATGGTGCTGTCAGGCTGTTTGCCCACCTTCTTCCCTGAGGACCATGAGAGCCGAAGCACAGTCTCAGGCCTGCTCGTCCCTGGAAGCTTAGCCCTCAGCCGTCTCTGCTCCTTGTCAGCCAGGCTGTGGTCTGCCGGTTCTATACCCAAACCACAGGAATCCAGATTCTCTGACCACCAAACAAAGAAGGGCTGAGTGAGACTGAATATGTAAACTGGCATTAGAAACCTATGACCAGAGATCCTCGTGCTGGGGCTGGAGAGATGATTGGCTCGGCGGTGAAGAGCCCCAGCTGCTCTCCCCAACATCTGGATGGCAGCTCACAACTGTCTGTAACTCCAGTTCCGGGGAAACTGACAGCCATACACGCAGCAGGCAAATACCAAATGCGCATACACTAAAAACAAACCACTGAAAAGAAAGAAATCCGTGTGCACAGCTGAAGTGCTAGCAGGTGCACTCTGGCTGAGAGCTGCCTCTTGGCCCACCTCGCCAGAGCTTCCCTAGCTGAGCTTAACCTGCCTTAAGGAATTTTAATTCCTATAGCTTACAGCATATTAGAAAAGTGATCTTTGATTGAACTTGTAAAGACCAACAAGAAAAGTAAGAGCCAAATCATTCTCAGAGCAAAAGGCTAGAATTAGACATGGAATTCTAAGAATGAAAGCAGAGCACACATGGCAGCCCACCAGCTCTGCACTCCGCTGACAGTCTCTCAAGGTTGCAGGAAATCAGGGCACACAGCAGCCCACCAGCTCTGCACTCCACTGACAGTCTCTCAAGGTTGCAGGGCACACAGCAGCCCACCAGCTCTGCACTCCACTGACAGTCTCTCAAGGTTGCAGGGCACACAGCAGCCCACCAGCTCTGCACACCACTGACAGTCTCTCAAGGTTGCAGGAAATCAGGGCACACAGCAGCCCACCAGCTCTGCACTCCGCTGACAGTCTCTCAAGGTTGCAGGGCACACAGCAGCCCACCAGCTCTGCACTCCGCTGACAGTCTCTCAAGGTTGCAGACCTGAGTATTCCCTGGCAGCTTCTAACCTTGGAAAGATTTTGCTGCTAAACAGTTTTTTAATCCTTCTGATTTGCTTTTCCTGGGAAGATGAGTAGGGACAGAATTTAGGTGCTCAATCACATTTTATATAAGAACTACAAGACTTGGGGGCTGGAGAGATGGCTCAGCAGTTAAGAGCACTGGCTGCTCTTCCAGAGGACCTGGGTTCAGTTCCCAACACCCACATGGCAGCTCGCACCTGTCTGTACACAGATATACATGGAGGCAAAATACCAGTGAACATAAAAAAGTTAAAAAAAAAAAAGAACTGGAAGAGTTGTACATAACAGCAGTGAATAAAGAAACAAACGCTCTTGACTGTAGTAATAAAACAGACCTCCTTTCTCCGATGTGTGCACTTACTAATGTCAGGACCTATTGAAAAAACCTAAGTTTTCCACTCCTGTTTGTACTTTATATAATTCAAGCCACTTATTTTTTAAAACTTTTATTATTATTGCACTGTCGGAGCTAAATCCTAAGACATGATAAGCAAGCACCAAGCTGCAGCCCCAGAACTCCAAACTACTTTAAAACAAAACCTTTATGAGCTGTGCACTATGAAAAACAGAAGCTCAGAGGAGAGGAATCCCCCTGTATCTAGAATTGTGTTGACACTCTGCTTTCGAGGGGCTGCCAGCAAGACTGCAATCAGGCTCATGGAGTCAGATTCCAGAGCATACAGTCTGGAGCATACAGTCTAGAGCATACAGTCTGGAGCATACAGTCTGGAGCATACAGTCTGGAGCATACAGCCCCTTTGAGTGCTATCTTGGTTGAGAAGGTTTTATCATATCATGAATGCTTTTCTGTATGAGTAACACAGCGGTTATTTGGTATGCTGTAGTTCAAACCCAGCTATGTGCTAAATAAAATTTATGTCAAGCAAAGTATGTGACTTTTTCCTTCCCTCCTAAAACACATCTCCATACTGAAATTATCTGACAAAACCCTAGGGCTACTGGAAAATCTCCTTTGAAGGACATCAGATTGTGAACTAGGCACCCTGACATCACCGTGAAGCCATGAGCCAAGTGTTGAGCATGCTAATTCCTACAAGGGCAGGAATGCTGCTGAGAGTCAGCGTCCAGTGATACCCTCAAACACAAATCCAAAGGAAAAATGCAGGACCCTTTCAGCCAGAACTCACAGGGATGCTGGGGTCAGCTTGGGAGAAGCTGCCCGCTGTCCACACTCCAAAGCACCAGGGGAAGGTAGGAGGCAGGGACAGGTGGTCCCGAACAGACTGAGGCAGTGTGACAGGCAGGCTGCGACCTGGGAGGGCAGGAAGGGAGAAGACCTGCACTTTATCTTTGGTCTTAGTTGATGTGTTTAACTGGGCCAGTTCAATCAACCTCATTATGCTAGAGGATGAAATGCTCATTCCTAAAATCAGAATCTAGTAATTTTCCTCCAAGCCTGATTAATCGTCACTGCAGAGCATCCTTTTGGGACGTTCTTTCCTTATCTGCCGTTTCCTGACACTTGTGGCAGAAAGCACACGAGTAGCTTTTTTTCATCCTGTAGCAGATCTGCTCTGGCTGTATCTGAACCAAGGGCACCTGTAAGCCAAAAATTAAATCTTCGCTAACTTAAAATTACTCGAGTCCCTGAAACCCTTTTATATGCCAAGACGGTTCCCATAGCAGACAGCCTGTGTTGTTTGTTTTGTGTGAAAGTGAATGATAAAAGACCCATGAAATCGACACAGAAAGCCAGAACAGCGGAGAGAGGCGAGGGCTCTCCATCACGGCGGCTTCTACCCTCTGCTGACTCGCAGAACAATGGGAGCCACACATCCAACTGCAGATCCAACACAGCTGTGCGTTTCATTAGACGGGAGCACTAGTACCACAAGTAAATAATTAACTTATTCTGCTCTGCTGACCGTGCTTATGAGACCAGTCAGAGCTGACGGATTGTAATACGCGGGAGCACAAAGGGGCCATAATGAGCTTAGAAGTTAAAACAAAATATTTAGACAGAATTTGAGGATCTTGAATCTCCAATTAGACAGATGATTTTTTAAGTTTGCATTTTACTGAGTCCACCAGGGGTAAAGAACATTCTCCATCTTAGAAACACACGTTTCCCCCCTTCTCTTTCCTTCCGTATTTCTCTGGTTCAGAAGTATCAGATCTTCAACACACTGTGAAGGTTTTTCTTTTCTTCCAAGGAAACACTAAAAGTGTGTTTCATAGAGGAACACGGGCATAAAGTCCACGCCAGTATTAAGAACTTTTCAAAGTTGTGGCCACTTCCCTTGAACACTGGCTTAAAATGCAAATGGTGCTTGAGTATGCTGATCCCCCCGCCCCTCTCCCGGGTCCCTGTAAAGAGATGGACTGCAAATAAAGCATGGCTAATGGGAGCTGTTGGGAAACGATTACTGATTCATACCTTAAAAGCTTACACAGCATTTTAGATTTTAAAATAAAACTTCACCCCCGGCTCATGCCGATGTCTCAACTCCACTGTTTACAGCACAGCCTCCTGGTAGCAAAATGCAAATACATTCTGCTCAAGAACTTTGATGCATTCACTGGGGGCAACTGGGAATTAGGCCACAGACTGTATCACAGGACTCTTAGCAAACACAAATCAATGAAGAAACAAGCTGGGAAAGTTAAGAGCAGATGCCCTGCCGAGAGAATATTACTCCATCAGCACCGACACAGGCGTAAAGAACTCACTGAGTCCAGGGAAGCTACAACTGGGTGCTAGTCCATTCAGAGGACCCACACACTGCCAGGCTCCTATACCGAGTTGCTATCTTTATTTCTATGGCTTCATAGAGCAACCCAGAAATCATGTAAGAATGGGTTTGTCCAGAGGAAGTCCAGTCAGCATTATAAATCATTTGGTTTTCTTAAAATGTATTTCTAATGATTCATATTAATAGAACTGACCTATTAGTTTTAATGGGTTGGATCTGTGTGATAGAATACTCTAAATTAAATAGATAAGAGTTAATATATCCAAAAAAAATTGGTGTGGTAGCTCACATCAGTAATCCAAGTACCAGGGCAGCAGAAGGGTTCTGAATTCAGGCCAGCCTGGCTACTCAGCAAGACCGTCTCAAAAACAAACAAACAAACAAACAAACAAACAAACAAACAAACAAACAAACGAACAACCCACCCAAAGGAGAAAAGAAAAACATACCCTTCAATTGCATCAAGACAAGAGGGCAGATGCTAACTGCAGAAAGAGCTGCAACCATCTATTAAATTCCAGGACCACTTCCCAGGTGACTTCACCATGGAGGGCCGACTAGCAAACGGTTTCTATTGGTTGTCAACTTAGTATTACTAAGTACAGACTGTGATAAGTACTGTAAGGTGGTGAGGAGGCGACTCCAGACAGGCAGATGCAGCTGGCCTAGATCAATCCAGGTGATGTCCTCACCTCCTTACATGACCGATGCCAGGTTCGTGACACTCATGACCATGGGGAGATGACACCCTCCAGTGCGGGGAGGACAAGGAGTCAGGTGACCTTAATCTGATGCTCTTCTGTTTAACAGATACTATCTGGGCATCAGTGTTTGGTTGGAGAAGGAGCAGTGATGAGCCTTGGTAGTTTAGTCTTTATATTGGGAATAATTAGCACCTCCTTCATCAGGCAATTGCGTTGAGAACCAATGAGCTAATGTTTGAGAGCAACTTTATGATCCTTAGAGAAAAGACTCAATCTAAATACAAGGAA